TCCGCTGCTGTCTGCAACGGCTCGTTATGTATGTTACTGTAATTACATTACCTGCTTCTTTATGCAGAATTATTCTCTGAGGACTAATTGATGGCACATGTTTAATTCATTAATCATTAACATCAAATTTGACAATTACACAGGCGCTGATTGTACAATCTAGAGTATAACGAGTGCCCCATTACCTGCCAGGCATCCCCCACCCCCATGTGTCACGCTGTATAACCCTCCGTCTAACTTCTAATATTCAGTGTAGAGCGCATGTTCCTTTATAGAACATTTACTCCTTAAATTCAGGGTATGTGTGCCTTTTTCTTTATATATTCATCTGTCTAACTTCTAATGTAGACCTTACAATGCTTATTCCCCTATATAGCCATGTAACCTGATATTATATGCATATTTACTTTAAAACCTAGTCTACGGTTTTATAACCTCTACTATAATGTTTTATTGTTTCGGCATTGAATTTTCTTTAATTGTTTGAATCTTTATATATTTTTTTATTTCCAGGTGCTTCGCAGTCTTCACTGCCCTCAGAGCGCTCACTCAGTGGTCTTAGCCTTTCAGCATTTAGTGCTAAAAGTGAAGGTGGTGGCATGTCTCAGAGATCTTTCTCAGTCTGCAGTGGGGAACAGTGGCCAGAGCCAGTTACAGGTGAGTTCCAGCTGCATGGACAATAACAAACTAGAATATATGAATCTTATTTCACCATTGTATGTAAAAATACAGATCTGAATCTAGATTTCCCTTTGTATACACAGATATAGATCTGAATCTAAATTCATCTTCGTACACATGAAGGTAGAACTGTATCTCGATCCACTTTCTGTCACACACAGATATCGACCTGAATATACATAAACATTAATAAAGACCTAAATCTAGAACCCCTTTATTCCAAACACATATATAGACCTGAATCTAGAACCCCCTTACTCCCCACAGATATAGACCTGGATCTAGAACCCTATTTGTCCACGCGGATATAGACCTGGATCTAGAACCCCTTTCCTCAATACAGATATAAACCTGAATCTAGACCCCACTTCCTGCACACACATATATAGACCTCAGTCTAGAACCCCCTTCCTCCACATACAGATATAGACCTGAATCTAGATCCCCCTTTGTCCACACACATATATAAACCTGAATCTAGATCCTCCACACACAGATCTAGACCTGAATCTAGATCCCCTTCCTACTCACAGATGGAGACATGACTTCTGATTCTTTTATTGCTATTTTACACACATAGATAGAGGCCTGAATTTAGATCCTCCTTCCTCCACACACAGATATAGACTTGAATATATATTCCCCCTTCCTCCACACAGATATAGACCTGAATCTAGATCCTACTTTTCCTCCACACACCGATATAGACCTGAATCTAGAACCCCCTTACTCCCCACAGATATAGACCTGAATCTAGATCCCCTTTCCTCCATACAGATATAAACCTGAATCTAGACCCCACTTCCTGCACACAAAGATATAGATCTGACCTGAATCTAGATCCCACTTCCTTCACACACATATATAGACCTGAATCTAGATCCCCCTTTGTCCACTCACATTTATAAACCTGAATCTAGATCCCCTTCCTCCACACACAGATATAGGCATGAATCTAGAACCCCCTTCCTCCACACACAGATATAGGAGTGAATCTAGATCCCCCTTTGTCCACTCACATTTATAAACCTGAATCTAGATCCCCTTCCTCCACACACAGATATAGGCATGAATCTAGAACCCCCTTCCTCCACACACAGATATAGGAGTGAATCTAGATCCCCCATCCTCCACACATAGATATAGACCTGAATCTAGATCCCCTTCTTCCATGCACTGATATATACCTGAATCTAGAACCCCCTTACTCCCTACAGATATAGACCTGAATCTAGAACCCTCTTCCCCCACACAGATATAAACCTGAATCTAGATCCCCCTTCACCCACACACAGCTATAGACCTGACCCGAATCTAGAACCCTGTTCCTCCACACACAGATATAGACCTGAATCTAGAACCCTCTTCCTCCACACAGTTATAGACCTGAATCTAGATCCCCTTTCCTCCACACACAGATGTATGAATCTAGAGCCCCCTTCCTCCACACAGATAGAGAGCTGTCCTGAATCTAGATCCCCCTTCCTCCACTCAGATATAGACCTGAATCTAGATCCCCCTTCCTCCACTCAGATATAGACCTAAATCTAGATCCCCCTTCCTCCACTCATAGATATAGACCTGAATCTAGATCCCCTTTTTCCATGCACTGATATAGGCCTCAATCTAGATTCCCCCTTCCTCCACACACAGATAGAGGCCTGAATTTAGATCATCCTTCCTCCACACACAGATCTAGACCTGAATCTAGATCCCCTTCCTACTCACAGATGGAGACATTACTTCTGATTCTTTTATTGCTATTTTACACACATAGATAGAGGCCTGAATTTAGATCCCCCTTCCTCCACACAGAGATATAGAGCTGAATCTAGATCCCCCTTACTCCCCACAGATATAGACCTGAATCTAGATCCCCTTTCCTCCATACAGATATAAACCTGAATCTAAACCCCACTTCCTGCACACAAAGATATAGATCTGACCTGAATCTAGATCCCCCTTTGTCCACTCACATATATAAACCTGAATCTAGTTCCCCTTCCTCCACACACAGATATAGGCATGAATCTAGAACCCCCTTCCTCCACACACAGATATAGGAGTGAATCTAGATCCCCTGTCCTCCACACAGATATAGACCTGAATCTAGATCCCCTTCTTCCATGCACTGATATAGACCTCTGTATCTCAATCTACTTTCTTTCACACACAGATATAGACCTGATTATACATAAACATTAACAAAAACCTGAATCTAGATCCCCCTTCCTCCACACAGATATAGACCTGTATCTAGAACCCTCTTCCCCCACACAGATATAAACCTGAATCTAGATCTCCCTTCATCCACACACAGCTATACACCGGACCTGAATCTAGAACCCTGTTCCTCCACACACGGATTTAGACCTGAATCTAGAACCCTCTTCCTCCACACAGTTATAGACCTGAATCTAGATCCCCTTTCCTCCACACACAGATATATGTATGAATCTAGAACCCCCTTCATCCACACACAGATATACCCGTGAATCTAGATCCCCCTTCCTCCACACATAGATATAGACCTGAATCTAGATCCCCTTCTTCCACGCACTGATATAGGCCTCAATCTAGATTCCCCCTTCCTCCACACACAGATAAAGGCCTGAATTTAGATCCTGCTTCCTCCACACACAGATATAGACTTGAATCTAGATTCCCCCTTCCTCCACACACAGATATAGGTCTGAATCTAAATGCCCCTTCCTCCACACACAGACATGAATCTAGATCCCCTTCCTACTCACATATATAGACATGACTTCTGCTTATTTTATTGTTATTTCGCTCTCTTTTTCTATCTTCTCCCTTCTCTTCAGTCATTATTTTCTCTCTTCTGTGTACTAATTGTTTTCACCTTGAAGACCTTAAGTTACATTTCCCCTTATGTCTCCATATTGCCTCAAATAGTAATCTTTTTCCTAAATGTTCTCTTGTCCTGGTCGCAGTCCTGTTTTTCTGTTCATGAGAGACCTGCATACTCTGGTGTGGCCAACTGACAGCAAGAAAGCTGAGACTCCTTTTAAGAGAGATCTTTGAAAATGTAATCTTTGTCAAAGTGTTTTTGACTGCTGTTTTATATGTACGTCACTCAGTATGACCTAGTTTGCTGCAAAGTCATTGGTATTAATACACTTTTATTGTCATCATCTGTTGGCTTAAATCATGTTCTGCTTATCTAGTACCCATCTCGATTGTCTCATCTACCCTTTGAGTTCCTTTCTTTTTGGCTCCCATGCTATCACATCACATGAGGCAGGATATTATTGAAAAGTCCTGGTCACAGATCATTTACTTCCCTTTAAGTCACAAACCGCTACCATGGCATTGTCTACTTCATCAAAATGAAATTCCTTCACTCCCTCCAAATGTGAACTTTGTATATCAAGCAACTTTCCAAGACGTGGAGCTTCCAGGCAGATTTTGTTAATTTGTTAAAGCGACACTCCAGACATACAACACAACCTAAAAAACGCATTGAACAAGAGCACAGCAGTGACGTCCAGCAGCTGAAGACTACCCGCTGGGAGAAGATGGTGGCGCCCGCGAGGGACAAGTTCAGGTAAGTAGAGCTCACCTTAGCTTGTTCCCCTCGGCCACTGGACCGTAAGCGGCAATGTCACCGTCGGGGGTCTTTGGAAATTCTGAGAAAGAAAAGCATTTGGCCTTTTCTCATCTACCTTGATCAATGCACAGAATAGAAGATACCGGACAATACATAATACCTTCCAATAACAGCTAGCAGGAGCTTGCAGTTTATATTCTGTCCAGACATGGCTGTGTGTGCAGCAATATATTAGTCATATCTCATTGATAACCTATTCTACTTGCTGTAGATGTGTGCCAAAGTTTACACTACTAACAATGGTGGCTTTTGTGGAGAATTAAAAAAAAATGAAAAGTTGTCATTCTTCTCCTATATGCTGTCACCCGTAGGTGTGTCCCTAAGTGATTCTCTCAGCCCAGCATCTAATATGAGTGGTACTGCCAGCCCTAAATTGGATCCACCTCCTTCTCCCCATGCAAATCGGAAGAAACATCGCAGGAAAAAGAGCAGTGGACCACCACGTTCTGAGGGAATCACCAGTGCAACAGAGGGTACTAATAAAATAGACTAATTCGTTTGGCAATGAAGAAGAAGTGACTGTTGGAGTATGCATTTGGATAGGGGTTGTCACAGTTACATTGAATGTAACCAGGGAATGTAGAGAGAAGTCATAGTGATGGGAAAAGAACATAATGCATATAAGAAACATGCTTTATGAATGATGATATGAGGGAAATGTAAGGAAATGTGGAGTGATGGCGGACATGGATAGGATAAGATAATGGGTATCACAGTGACAGAGAATGGAGTGATGGCGGACATGGAGAGGATAAGATAATGGGTATCACAGTGACAGAATGGAATGATGGCAGACATGGAGAGGATAAGATAATGGGTATCACAGTGACAGAGAATGGAGTGATGGCGGACATGGAGAGGATAAGATAATGGGTATCACAGTGACAGAGAATGGAGTGATGGCGGACATGGAGAGGATAAGATAATGGGTATCACAGTGACAGAGAATGGAGTGATGGCAGACATGGATAGGATAAGATAATGGGTATCACAGTGACAGAGAATGGAGTGATGGCGGACATGGATAGGATAAGATAATGGGTATCACAGTGACAGAGAATGGAGTGATGGCAGACATGGATAGGATAAGATAATGGGTATCACAGTGACAGAGAATGGAGTGATGGCAGACATGGATAGGATAAGATAATGGGTATCACAGTGACAGAGAATGGAATGATGGCAGACATGGAGAGGATAAGATAATGGGTATCACGGTGACAGAGAATGGAGTGATGGCGGACATGGATAGGATAAGATAATGGGTATCACAGTGACAGAGAGAATGGAGTGATGGCGACATGGAGAGAGGATAGCATGGCCTGCACAGAATGGAGTGATGGCGGACATGGATAGGGATAAGATAATGGTACTGTGACAGAGAGAATGGAATGATGGCGGACATGGATAGGATAAGATAATGGGTATCACAGTGACAGAGAATGGAGTGATGGTGGACATGGATAGGCTAAGATAATGGGTATCACAGTGACAGAGAATGGAATGATGGCGGACATGGATAGGATAAGATAATGGGTATCACAGTGACAGAATGGAGTGATGGCGGACATGGATAGGATAAGATAATGGGTATCACAGTGACAGAGAATGGAGTGATGGCGGACATGGATAGGATAAGATAATGGGTATCACAGTGACAGAGAATGGAGTGATGGCGGACATGGAGAGGATAAGATAATGGGTATCACAGTGACAGAGAATGGAATGATGGCGGACATGGATAGGATAAGATAATGGGTATCACAGTGACAGAGAATGGAGTGATGGCGGACATGGAGAGGATAAGATAATGGGTATCACAGTGACAGAGAATGGAATGATGGCAGACATGGAGAGGATAAGATAATGGGTATCACAGTGACAGAGAATGGAGTGATGGCGGACATGGAGAGGATAAGATAATGGGTATCACAGTGACAGAGAATGGAATGATGGCGGACATGGA